AGGGCAGGGGTTGCCAGGCGTCTGGCTGCTCAGGATGTGGGCTCCGGGTGAGGGCTAGGGTGAGCATGGGACCTTTCTCAGTGCTCTGAGCTTTTTTGGTATATATAGTGGGTTTATATTTACACATTGTGTCTCGATGAGCAAAGAAAAGCTTTACTTTCTATTGCTCATTTCATCCTCGTGTCTCTAATTCCATCGGTGACGGAAAATGTGGAAACTTCCTTATGACATTAAGTCTCTTTTGGGTTGAGCGGCCCCTCTGAGATAAAAGGCCGGCTGTCTGCACCTGCCACATGTCCCGTCCTTCCTTCACCTCCGAAAGGATCTGTGTCTGGTGGCTGCGGGGAGGGTCTCTAGTGCCTGAGTTGTCCTTGGGGCCCTCACTGGTCCCTGGGCTACTGCTCTGGTGGCCAATGTGGGGTGCCCGGCCTTTCTTGGTGGCCCTGGGTAGCACACTGGCACCTTGGCTGATGAGTAGACTCTACCTCCCCCCCAGGGCTCCCACAGGGCAAAGGCGAGCTGAGGACAACCTGGGGGAGCACATGGGAGCCTCTGTGCAGACCCGCCCCTCCCTGCTGCTTGGTAGCTCACGCTCCCCTGGCAGGAGTGGTGGGCCAGGAGGGACCCAGCCCCTTCTCTGCAGAACCATGACACCGTGACACCTCTCAGGGGCCAGAGCCCTCGGGGGAAGTCTGGGGCCCTGTGTGGTGCATTTGCTGGAGGCTCCTGGTCCCGCCCAGGGAATAGCTTCCTTTTGGACGCGGGGGCCTCCTACGGCCCACAAAGGGGTGCAGGTCTGCCTGCCCCAGCCCAAAGGCTCCAGTCCCTTAGCATCTCCAGTCTTTGTTGCGTGTGCGAGGCTGAGTGGGGTCGGGTGAGCTGCTGAAGGTGCCAGGAGCAGCAGTCGGAGGTTTGCTCAGCCCTTGGCACCTGTCACCATCTGCACCCTGTTTTGGGCTGCTGTGAGCACCAGGCCCTGTGCTGGGAGAGAGGTGAGGGGCCTGAAGGGACTTAGGGTTTCATGCTGAGGCTGGGCTGGCACATGGTGTGGAGACAGAACATTCTGGGCGCAGGTGTTGCTTGGCCCTTGGGTATGGGTGTCAGGAGAGCTTCCTGGAGCAGGAGCGGAGGCTGCTCCCAGGGTGAGTCCTGAACATGCTGCCTGAGTCTCATGCTCTGTTCCAGACCTGGACAGGGGCCCACAGAGCTGGTGTGCAGCTGAGCCAGGACTGTGTCGGTGCCACACAAGGAGCCTCGGAGTCCGGCGTCCGGGAGACCGTTGCGTTCCTTACCTATGACCCGGCGGATCCCTGGCCATTCATGGGCCTGGAGGAGGAGGGCACTGGCCCTGGACTCCCGGTGGATGTGTGGCCAGCAGCCCTGGAGTCAGGAGAAGAGCCACCTGCCTACCTGCCGCAAGAAGAATGGGTCCCTGCGAGCCCTGCCAGGCCAGCTCCCCCACAATCAGAGGGCAGTAGCAGTGACTACTGTGCCCTGGGCTGCTATGGGGGGTGTCACCCTTCGCCTTTCCCAGGAACCATGCAGAGTCCTGGGCCCATCCAGGCCTTGGCCTGTGGCCTTTCCTGCGACCAGCATAGCCTGGATGCCAGGCAAGGAAGTAGCTATGTGGGAGCTGGTCTCAGTCAGGGGCAAGACCCTGGGGAACAGGCTGCATGAGGACCTCTGGGGCTTTTCTGCCCTCCTGTCTTTGGCAGACTGTGGGCTTGGTCCTGAAAGTTCCAGAGCCCTGACTCGGCCGGCTACATCGTGTCCACTTTGGGGAAAATGGACTGAAGTTTCTGGAGCTGACCCTTGACTGGCACTGGACCTCCTGCTGAGGGATGGAGTCAGGAGGCCCTCCTCCCTCCTCTCTGCTCAGCACCCGTGGGGAGAGGCCTCTGCACTCAGCATCCTGCCCACCCGCGCCCCTCCCCACTTCTCTCCCTGCTTTCTGGCTTGATCCCAGGCTCCTCAGAGAAGAGGCCTGTTCCCCACAGCCTGTTCTGCCCTCACCCCCTCAAAGGGCCAGCCTGGGCCCAGCAGGCACAGGTGCAATGCTGTGACCAGGCTGAGTGGCCCCTTTCTGTGCCTTCCTGAGGTATTTCTCCTACTGAGATTAAAAGGCATATAGTAGCTGTTCACCAAACTGCCACTGGCTGGGAGAGGGGCACGGAGGAGGGTGAGCCTGTGGGGTCTGGCCATTCCTGGGCTTTCTGGGTCTTGGAATAATGATAGCTCCAGCTGAGGCCAACCCCTGCCCTTCACCGTCCTCATTTTATCATGGGCGCGTGAGGCTGAGAGCTGTGGCCAAAGTCTGGGCTGGAAGTGACCACCCAGCAGTGGCCTTGGCCTGTGTAGGGCCCTGCCTCTGCCCCCACACCTGTGGCGAGAGTGGTGGGTAGAGCACAGGGTGCCTGTATCGGTCTCCTAGGAGTGCCGTGACAAAGCGCACAGACTAGGTGGCTTAGAGCAATTTCTGTTGCTCTAAGCTGTCTCATAGTTCTGGAAGCTGAGATCCGTGAAATCTGAAATCTCAGTGTTGTCAGGGCCACAAAGATGCTAAGGAAGATCTGTCTCAGGGCTGTGTCCAGCCTCCAGTGGTGCCTTGGCTCAGGACCACATAGCTCCAATCCTCACAAGGTGTTTTCCTGGTGGATGTGTGTCTGTCCAAATTCCCCCTTTTCATAGCAGCACAATCACTGTGGATTAGGGCTGACCCGAATGCCTTCATCTTGACTTGGTCATCTAAAAAGACCTTATTTCCGTATAAGGTCCTAGCACAGGTCCTGGGGATTAGGACTTTTAAGACTTCAACACAGGAATTTTTGAGGAACACAGCTCAATCCAAAACTGTCCCTGCCTCTGTCAGCGTATCCGTCTCCTTGCTGGCTCAAGGCACTGTGGTCACTCCCAGGGCAGCCCTGTCACTCTCACCGGGTGCCTCTGGAAGGAGACCCTGTCCCTCCTGGCCGCTGGACTTGGGGCCGGTGCTGGGATCATTTGCCAGGTGAGGGCTGGGACAAAACTATTCCCGAGTTGGAGGGAGGTGCTGAAGTTTTAAAAGTAGGATAGGATGAAGGCTGACGCTCTCTGGGTGCTGAGTGTCTGTCCAGTGTCCCCTGTGACCTGGGCAGAAAAAAGCCCTTAGAGCCCCAGGCCCCCACGGAAAAAGACCTCCTGGCTCAGACAGGCATCCCTCTCCCCTCTGTGTGCCTGTGGGGCCCCCGAGGCTTTGTGGGGAGCCTCAGCTGAGCTGGATCCTGGTCAGCAGGGGCGAAACAGGACCCAAAATATATCTTTAGTATCCAGAGAACGGAAGGCGTGTGGACGGAAGTGAGGCACCGGCATCCTCAGCTCTAACCAACTATAAAAATACCGTCGTGAATCCACTTCCTGGAGCCGACCCCCGGGGAGCCCCAGGCTGGTGTATTTATAACAGCATCTGCTTGGCTGGTGCAGCTGCTGTGGGACCTGGGCCACCTGCATGATTGGACAAGTGACCCCCCAGCTGGGATGCCTTTTCTGTGTGGCCAGGGATGGTGCTCCTTTGACTCCCACATTTTCTCCAGGCAGCACCTGGAGGGGACCTGACCCTGGGCTGGAACTTGAGTGTGAAGGTGCTCAGGGCCTCAGGAGTGACGGGGGGTGAGTCACACCCGCCCCTTCGGCGCAGGGGACTAACCATACTTCACAGAGTTGCTGTGAGGACACCTGAGCAAGATGCGAGCACGCGGAGGTGCTCAGAAGCCCTCATCTCCCCCGACGGAGACCAGACAGCCCTCGGAAGCCACGCGCCGAGACCAGGGGGACGGCGGAGCAAAGCTCCAGGGGCCCTGCGAGCCCTGCTGAGGGAGTCCCCGGCCGCAGGGCGTCTGCGAGGGGGTCAGGGACGAGGTGGCCTGGGAAGGGAATTGTGACGCTGCTTGTGGGCTGAGGAGCAGAGTGAACAGCATGGCTGGAGCACAAGTGTCCAAAATGCAGCTGGCCAGTCGCCGGGTGGGGGGAAGAGGAACGCTGTGGGGTGGTTTCTTTATTTTTTGTTTTTCAATGAGATCAGAGTCACATGCTATAAAATGAACTGTCTTAAACTGTCCAACCAACTCAGTGACATTTAGTACACGCGCAATATTGCACAACCATCACCTCTATCACTTTTCGAAAAGTTTCCGTCACTCCAAAGGAAATCCCCTGCCCCAAAGCAGTCACTCCCTGTTCTGCCCACCCTCTGGCCTCTGGCAGGCTCTGATCTACTTCCCGAACCTATTCTGGATACTTCATATAAATGGAATCACATGATGTGTGACATTTTGCGCTCAGCATCTTTGTCATAGTATAACATCTTCAAAGTTTACCCACATTGAAGTATCGGGACCTCACTCCTTTTTATGGCTGAATACAGGGTGGGGAAAAAGGAGGTTTATAGTTGTTCGTATGGAAAATAATACAATAATTAATAAGTAATAATACAAGAATAAATTCTGTGTTCCGAGTCCTCACAACTGTAAACCGCCTTTTGCCCCACCCTGTGATATTCCGTTGTATGGATTTACTGCCTTTTGTTTATCTGTTCATCTGTTGATGGACATTTGAGTCGCCTCTGCCTTTTCACTGTCCTGAACGGTGCTGTCGCAGAACAGCAAGAAGCTGGGGAATTCCCTGACACATGGAATAAAGGAACCTGAGACAGAGAAATTAAACAAGGCCCAAAGATTTGAGCAACTTATAGTCAGTTAATGAATCGCGAGGTTTTATCTTCCCTAACCAAGGCCACTTAGGAGCAAATCATTTGCATATTCTAGACTGTCCCAGGACTGAATGGCCTCTGTCCCAGTTCCTCTTCGATGACGTTCTTGATGTTCTTTTAAGAGGAAACTAACCAGGAAATAACCCCTGACCCTGTAAATGTGTGCACACATTTTGATGAATCAACATACTGAAGGACACACATGAAAAGCTAATGAATATTCGGTTAAGATCCCCCTCTGAGACCTCCCCTGGGATCCCCACTGGCCAAAGAAAGATAAGGAGGCTCAAGACAAAGGACATGGGGTGAGCTCTTGCTAGAACACGCCCATGTCTTGTATCTCTGCTTTTCCTAAGGGACCCCAGGAGACTTGCAGCCAGGGGAGCAGGGCGCAGCAGCAGCTCATCCTGGGCTAACCCCTGAGCCTGTTTCCAAGGCCCCCTCCTTCCCTGACTCTCTCTCTTGGTGCATCTTCTACTCTAAATCCTTCCTTTGTTGCACCTCCCCCAGCTTTAATAAATCTACTCTCAAAATCACCTGGACTCACGCTGTGAAATCTTTCCTGCACGAAGTCAAGAGCCCACACACTACCGGTGGGCCCAGACCCCGTCGGTAACAATGCTGCTAATAAGCATTCATGTACAAGTTTCTGTTTGAATACCTGTTTTCAACTCTTTTGTGTTCATTCCTAGGAGTGGAATTGCTGGACCGTATGGTAATTCTATGTATAGAATTTTTGAGGAACCACCAAAGTATTTTCCACAGTGGCTGCAGCATTTTACATTTGCATCGTTAATGTACTAGGATTCCAGTTTCTCCACACTCTCGCCAGCTCTTGTTAGTACCTGTGTTTTTGGTAAGAGCCATTCTGATGGTTGTGAAGTGGTACCTCACTGTGGCTTTGATTGCATTTCCCTGATGGCTAGTGATGCTGAGCATCTTTTCATGTGCTGTTCGTGTATTTTCTTTGAAGAAAAGTCTATTCGAGTCCTTTGCCCATTTTAAAAATTGGGTTGTTTCTCCTTTTGCTGTTCAGTTGTAAGAGTTCTTTATATATTCTAGATACTAAACCCTTATCAGATATATGACACAAATATTTTCTATCATTCTTAGGCTATCTTTTTACTTATTTTTGTTGTTGTTGTTAATAACCCAAGGATATTTGTTGTTAATAACCCAAGGATATTTTCCCCATTGATTTTTAAAGAGAGTAGAAGGGAGGGAAGGAGAGAGAGAGAAATATCCATGTAAGAGAAACACACATGCCCCCAATTGGGGATCAAACCTGAAGCCTAGGTACGTGCTCTGATCTGAAATCGAACCCGCAACCTTTTGGTGTACTGGATGATGCTCCAACCAACTGAGCCACTTGGCCGGGGCAAGGACTTCAATTTTTGAAATACTATTATAAATGATTTATTTACTTATTTATTTTTTCACTTCAAATTCATGTTTTTTCTACACATCATTGCTTATTGGTTTAATCCATCTGGGTTGTTATAAACAAAACCCCATTTTGGTATTTTAGGTCGCTTATTATATACAATAGAAATTTGTTTCTTACAGTCTGTAGGTTTGAGGTCAGGGTGCCAGCATGGTTACGGTAGGGGCTCTCTTTCTAGGGGCAGGCTTCTCCTTGTGTCCTTATGGGGAGGAAGGGGTCTCTTACAAGGGGACTAATTCTATACATAAGGACCCCACCCTCATGCCCGAATCACCTCCCAAAGGCCCCACCCTCTAACACCATCCCCTTAGGCATTAGGATCGCAACATGTGAATTTCGGGGGAACACACACATGCAGCATACAGCAATGTTCTATAGAAAAATCGATCGACTTTGTATGACCTATTTTGCTTTTTGTTAATCTCTTTATTTCTCGATCACAGCATGGGCATGGTAGACTCTATTTCAGGAGGAATTTCCAAATGATGG